CTTCAGAATACTGATCAATGCAATGACCAATAACAATTTCAAAAGACTGGAAATAAAGTATGCTACCCACTCTTGACAGAGAGGTGATAGACTTGGGGTACAGAATGAGACACATATCTTTTTGAACATGACTAATGTAGGAAATTGTTTTGCTCGACTGCATATTTTTATAAGGATTTTGTTTTCCTTCATTTATTTTTCTCAACAGGGATAGGGAAAGATAAGAGGCAGAGAAAATAAATTGTCAACTGAAAAAAAAAACAAATTTTAAATGACACCATAGTTCAGAAGTCCAGAGAGTCAGAAGCAGCTCGGGGAGAGGAGTGGAATTAACACGATTATAGCCTTCTTTAAAATGGAGGTTCCTGGAGGAATTATCTTATGAGAAGAAGGGGCTGCAGGAAGGGAAGGATCTCACTTTGGAGGTTGAGAAGACTGTATGATCTTACCCTCAATACTGAGCATGATCCTGTACTGGGATAAGAGGTCTGTGAGCCCATTATGTAGGTAATGTAGTCTCAGGGGAGCCCAATTCAACAACACAACTTACTTCCATTAACAACACTATCACCTTGCTATTATGGTACTGTATCCCAAGACTGAAAGGATCACTGCCCAACCTCACAGCCCAGAGGTTCTCCTGGCAACAGCAGTGGAAGCAGGGACAGTGAGTGGGCGGGCCTACAGGTACTGTAGTTGGCAGCTGTGGCAGCCCAAGACCCTGGGCACCCACCTGAGCAGTCAAACAGCAGGAGGGCACACAAAAAGCAGCCCCAGTGGCCATAAATACTCATGAGACCCAGGTAACTGAGGATGTGATGAGTCATCGGAGCCCCATAGCCACAGAGGCAGTAGCAGAGATGGTAGCTCTGTGAGTCACAAGGGTCATACAATCTGAGGCTCCTGGAGCTGAAACATCTGCCCTCCTAGAGCTCCTGGACATGTGTCCTTTCATCTGCTCCATTTGAGGGACTTATTGGGCCTGTGGCAAATACCTTGGAATGGAGAATTCAGAGTAAAAATGCCAATTGTAATTTCACCTTCAAGAACTAAAAGAAATTCTAAAAAAATCTTGTTTTCCCCTAATTTCTCCTCTCCATGACTTTCCAGTAACAGGCATGTAATACATGCAACTCAATTTTTTTACCTAAATGTTTCCTGTATCCTGATTTTGCCTCAACAATATTTTGCCTGAAATAATGACATTTTGTAAGAACAATATGATTAACTATGGTTCATTGTTTTTTAATATCACGGTTTAACACTTTTTAATGTAGTGTTTTGAAGGTCTGGTTCTAAGTTCAATTTATTTTAATACTTAGTTTTCACGGTTGTCACAGCAGAAAGATACCTCACAAGGTACACAGGTGCAAATGGAAGACCTGCATCATTAACTTCACTTAATAGATCATGACATTCAGTTTTCAATCTCATTCACCAACTATGCAAAGGTTTTGGTTGGACTTCAGCTAGCAAGTTGTCAATTCATGCAAACTAATCAGAAGGTGTTATACTTTTACGTTTATAACAAATGGGTTCAAAATCCACTAAAACTCTTTATTTAGATTTTTTTAAGGTTAGAAAATTCTATTTCCAAGATTTTTTAAAGTGTTCAGATAACAGAATTTTTATAAGCAACCTCTCTTCCTTACATGGGACAACCAAAAAAAAATCACCTAAAGATGGAAACATTTCTAAACATTCATTTTCAGAATACTCTCTCCATAGCACATTTCTCTCAAAAAGCAGTTACTCCCTTGCTCATTAAAACATCATCTTTACTTTGAAGGCACAGATTGTGTGCTCTTTTTTTTTAATATCTGCTAGGTTTCACACTAGTGATGGACATTTGCTATCACAGTAAAGTTTGGCAAATTTGGAACACTATTTCTTCTTATAAAAAATGTGAAATCCATCTAAAGATGGATCTAAAGAGTTGACTGACTTTGCCACAAGATAACCAGCAAATCTCTATTATTAATTCCATCTCACTTCTGGCCAGATATGATTAGATCTACTTTGTTTTTAATTCCATATCATAGCTGACAAAGAATTTATATTAGGAGTAGAAATGTCAATTATGCCATCTTATTTTTGCCCTCTTATGTTCATATTATTAATGCTATCTTCTGTATGTGATTTTTACAGGTATCTTTTTAGGATTTCTGTCCATTTTATGAGGGTTCATTTAGTTAAAAATGTATGGTAAAATCCACAAATCTATTTAACCTGCAATACATCCAATTGTGTCCTAGAACTAGCTCATATCTGCTCAAGAAAGCCAATTGTTAAATTTTCAGTGTGAGCATTTACACTTTGGAAACTGACAAATCAGGACTTGATTTATTGTTTTGATGATTCTCTAGATTAAAGAAAGTGATGAAGAAAAAGTTAATAATGCAAATTAAACTTTAAAATGTGTCATGCATACATTTTTTCCAGAAAGTCAGTTGTTCAACATTCACCACCACACACCTAAATTTATCACAATACAGTGGAAGTAACAGACAAGTAAGGATAGCACTGTAAAAACCTCAGTGTTAGATAATTCTGACTCTTCCTTCAGGATACCTTATGTATTATATGTGACATGTGACAGCATAACATATGGACAGACTTAGGACACTGATATCAATCCATATTGTGCCCTTGGCACTAAGACTTTTGGGATACCTTGCATTAGTAAAGCTTAATTTCTTTCTTATTTTTTAGATTAAAAAATAGAAATAGTTCTGTTATGATCTTCCTAGCTTCCCACCTGCACCATGGTCTTGAGCACCCCACTTTGGAGATGTTTCATTTTTAACTGGATTCCCAAATCAATCTCTCAATCTCATGGGAAAATCAGGGAGAGCAGAAACCAATCCACACAAGTTTAGTGTGTTTATACTTCAAAATATACCCAATTCTGTTCCACAAAATGTAGGGATGATTCATTTATCTAATTTATCCTTCTTCCTCTCTGGGAGGCAGATGGGCTCAGCCCACTCTGCTGCGTCAGTTTTGTGAATATAAGTAGGTCAAGCTGTTCAGAAAGAAACAGGTCTCTTTGTAAGTTAAAGATTCACTTTTTTAGAGAAAACATGTATTACATGTACTAACTAGCAGTGAAGAATCAATTCAGCCAGTCTACTTTCTAAACTGAAAGGGAGTTCTCAAAGACAATGAGTGTTATTGCAAAAAGTCAGAGCAGCTAGGTGACACAGTGGATAGAGCACTAGCCCTGGAAGACCTGAGCTCAAATCTAGCCTCAGACATTTACTAGCTGTGTGACCTTGGGAAAGTCATTTAACCTCACCTGCAGAGACAGAGAAGAGAGAGAGACAGAGAGAGAGAGACAGAAAGAGAAAGACAGACAGACACAGAGAGATTGCAGAAAGGGTAAGGAAGCAAGCTGCACTAGCCTCCTGACTTTTCCTTTTAGGACCAAAGTATTTGATTTCACATTTATAGTTTCTGATGCCATAATAGGCTCAGAATTCAAATTCTCCTCGCATATAGTTGGTAAAAATTTGTTCTTTCTTACATTTGGCATAAGGACCTAAGCAGGACTGGTCTAAGGCAAAAATGTGAAGTTAGCAAAGGTGGTTTTCAGCAGCCTCACTTTTCTCCTTTTGTTGGCATCCCTCAGAGATAAGTGATCTCTGGGCCTTAAACTTGTTCCACCTTGTTTCTACAAAATCAGCAGCTCTCACTAAAGGATCTGATGAGCTCATTCACACTAAGAAGTAAATGATCAATAATAAAATGATGTATCACCCCATCTAGGGATGGCCACTGTGGTGTGGTGGAAAGAACACTAGAACAGGAATCAGCAGACCCAGATTCTAGTCTTGGCTCTGTCAATGAGAAAGTCACTTTCTCATTCTGGGTCTTAGTTTCTTTATCTGTAAAGTTAAGGGAGATTGTATTAGATGATCTATAAGTTCCTTCTAGTTCTAAAAATCTATAATTCCACCTATTCAGGAAATTTTGAGGAAAATAAAGGTGTGAAATAGAGAAATTAATGATAAAATAGATACCACAACTCTATTTGAATGTAAAAAAAGATAGGGTAGGGGTAATGGCTTGATCCGAAGGAGTAATTTTCTAATTGAAGTATTTCTGGGCTCAGCAACAGGCTATGAGGGGAGGGAAGAGAGATCATTTTTTTGGAGGACCTACCTGGGATTTTCCAATCATAGACTTGAAATGACTGTGCTACACACACACACATACATACATACATACATACATACATTTATTTACATATAAAAATACATACACTATATATAATATATTGTATATGTGTGTATAGATATTTATATGTGTATGTATATATATACATATATGTATATGTGTGTAGGTATAGCTATAGATAGATAGATAGATAATACTATACCTGAGCAGCTAAATGTCACAGTGGATAGAACACAGGTCTGGAATCAGGAAGAACTGAGTTCAAATCCAGCCCCAGACACTTACTAGCTCTGTGACCATGGGCAAGTCACTTAACCCTGTCTGCCTCAGTTTCTTCATCTGTAAAATGATCTGGAGAAGGAAATGACAAACTACTTATCTTTGCCAAGAAAATCCCAGATGGTGTTATGGAGAGTCAGACATAGCTGAACACCAACAAAAATCCTGTATCTAAATATCATATCATGGTATCTGATTACATGTGTGTGTTCATGTGTGTATACACTTAGATGATCAAATGCATGTTCTGTGACAAGTTACAGGTTTATAAGTAGTCTCCACTAGAAACGATTACTTAAAAAAACACAGATTTACTGATAGTCAAACATAATTATATTTAAAGTAAAATGTATTATTTTTATCTACAAGTTCTCAATAGCCTCCAAGAGTTTATTTTTTTAAGTGCAATTATTATTCCACCACTAGGAAATATGCTATGAATGTGGTAATAGCAGATATATTTTGCTCCCTCAGCTTCAAGTTCAGCCAAGTACTTGTTTATGCATCATTGCATCCATTAAAACATTTCCTTCCTCTTACAGCTGATCAAGCGGACCCATGCAAATTCATGGCATGTGATGAATTTTCACAGTGCATAAAGAATGAATGGACAAAAGAGGCCGACTGCCTTTGTAAGCCAGGGTATGTCAGCCAAGATGGACTGCCCTGTCAAAGCCTGTGCGACATGGATCCAGGCCTTTGTGTGAATGGAGGAAAATGTGAACTGGTTCCAGGAAAGGGAGCTGTTTGCAGGTAGGCAAATCAATTGAATTGAACACATTGTACTGGAAATCTTGACTTTTGAAAAAACCCATTGTCCAGAGCAATTAATGTAGCATTCCCTGTCAGCCCTTCAGCAATACTTGCTGCATCCTGGTGACCAAAGATTTCAAGTCAGTTTCAGAAAGTTGTACTATAAATTATAAAGCAAGCTTATTCTTTTTTTTAAAAGAAAGCAAAATAGCAGGATTATAATTTATTTTTATATTCAGAAAATTCAAGTAGTTAAATATACCAAAGTAGAGAGTGGAAAGGGCACTCCGTACCAGACCTGTTTGCTTGATTGACTCTAATCCCAGTCCCCACATTATCCTCTTAGTGAGGACTAACACTCTGCCCTTCTCTAGACCATTATTTCTTACACAAGACACATTACCGAAACATTTCTAGAAATTGCTAACATTTTTTCCTCTTCCAAATTAAAACATCACCTCTGTTTCCTCTTAGGTAGGAAGCCAAGAAATAGAGTAGGGATATAATATTTATGAATAAAGATTTGTTTTCTGTCTGATATTAAGTGACATAAATGAGATTTATATTTTCTATTATGGATGGTATTTTGATAGTTTGAAACATTTTTTCCCTTGAAAGTAAGATTGTCTTAAATTCAAGTCTGTCTTATATTTAGGTCAAATGAGAATAGCCCTGGATTTGGAGCGAGTGAATATGGTTTTTAATCACAGCTCTACTATTTACAGTACTCTGTGACTTTGGACAACTCAGTCCACCATTTTAGGTCTCTATTTCTTCATCAATAAGATGTAAGGGGTGGGGAAAGAACATTTGTAGACTAAATTTACTTTTAAATCAATTATGAGGAAAGCAAGAGACATCTTTACTGTTACAATAACATCAAACTATATAGCTTGAATTCAGTCAACAACATTAGTAAGAACATCATAGTGGCACAGTGGATAGAGCTTCAAGCCTTCAAGTTAGGAAGACCTGAGTTCAAATCTGGCCTCAGACACTTTCTAGTTCTGTGACTCTGGGCAAGTCACTTAACCCCATTTGCCTCAGTTTTCTAATCTGTAGAATGAGCTAGAGAAGGAAATGACAAACCATTCCAGTACCTTTGCCAAGAAAACCCAAAATGAGATCACAAAGAATTGGAAACAACTGAACAACAACAACTTCCCTTACAAATCTGAGTTATGATATTTTCACTCTAAAAGATCCAGTCTCTGAACTCTCAGACTCAGAAATTTAAACTTAGGTTTACCCATGCGGTCACTCCAAAGATGGTGCTCCCCAGGAAAGTTCCCTTCTTGGCTATAAGACAAGATCCTGGGGGCAGCTAGGTGGCAGAGTGGATGGCGCACTGGCCCTGGAGTCAGGAGGACCTGAGTTCAGATCCAGCCTCAGACACTTAACACTTAGTAGTTGTGTGACCCTGGGCAAGTCACTTAACCTTTCTTGCCTCCTCAGAAAAAAAGGTAGTTTTTAAGGGACACCAAGGTGACGCAATGGAATGAACTCTGGCCTTGGAGTCGGGAAGAGCTGAGTTCAAATCTGGCCTCAGACACTTAGTAGCTGTGTAACCCTGGGCAAGTCACTTAACCCCGATTGCCTCACCAAAAAAAAAAAAAAAAAAAAAAAGACTAGATCCTGAGACTCCACCATCACCCCCATCTGCAGAGGAGATTTAGGTTTAGGAACAGTGGCCTTGAACTCCCCTCTAAAGTTTCATGCAAATACATGTTTATACATGTGCACACACAGAACAATAATAGTGATTTATCATGGAAGCAGAATACCGTAGGAGATGTGCTTATACAAAGTCTTAAGGGGAGTTTAAGGACAATATTCCTGAACCTCAACCTCCTATGTAGGTAGGAGAGGGGGGAATTCCACCCCAAATTTCCCCACTCCCACTTTCTGCACTCTGGAAGAAGACAATGACTGTGTTCTCCAGTTTGCTTTTATAGACCACAAGGAGGGGTACCTGATCTTCAATCATCCAATCACTAGGATTCCCTGTGTCCTATCCCTTGCTTTCAAACCATCTTTACCCCAGACATTTTTAGCCCCGTAATTGTTGCTGCTGCTTTACCTGAAAACCACTGAGGTCTATGACTGGGAAGAGCTAAGCCACTCAGTTCAGTGCTCTCTAAGGCCATGCATCCTCAGCTTTAGCTATTTTTCCAAACTTTACTGTACCCTCCTTGCCTGTTTCCCTGCTTTCCACCTGGATAGAGTCCTAGGCTTGAAGTCAGGAAGTTGTGAGTTCAAATCCAGCCTTAGTCACTTACTAGCTATGTAACTGTGGACAAGCCACTTAATCTCTCTCTGCCTCAGTTTCCTCAAATGTAAAATGAGAATAATAATAGCATCTACCTTGCAAGGTTGTTGTGAGGATCAAACAAGATAATATTTGTAAAAGCACTTAGCACAGTGCTTGGCATATAGTAGCTTATATAAATGTTCATTCCCTTCCTTTCCCATTCCCCTTCTCCCTCTTATCCTAAAACTGTAACCAATTCACCACTATCATTACCTCTATAAACAGTGCATTAATAAATTGCATTGTTCCACTCAACATCATTGTGATTTTCCTAACCATAAATCCTTTCCCTAGCCACCACTCTACATATATATTGTCTCTTGCATTAGGATATAAGCTCCTTGATGTCAAGTATTGTTTCAATTTAGGATAATTAGTTCATTTTAAACTTAAGAGCAATGCAATAGCCCCTAATATCTACATTAGTTCCCTCTTCTGCTGCTTTAAGGAATTTATTTTAGATTAAAAGTTATTAATCCTATTAAAATTGCTCCAAGAACCCACTTGGGAAAATTCATAACATTTATATAGTAGTTGGACTCTCTGCCTAAATTTATATTTGTTTCTCTACTTAACTCCCCCCTTTAAAGGAGAAAATCTGTGGATAGACAGGCATCAGGAAGGGAAGCTGGGGAAAGGGGCAGAACTTTTCTCAAGAATTCCCTCAGTCCTTGAGGAGGTGGGTACATTGGTGGGTTCAGCCTGGGTTTTCTGCTCCAAGATACTTATAGAGAAAAAGGTCCTCCTCAATATCTACCTTGTCAGTCACAATTCAGTCTACATTCTCTTCCTCTTTCACTGATTGACCTGGGTCTTCTAGTTCTTGGCTCAACTCTATGATCTTGCTACTTCTTCTCTGCTTCCAGACCTTAGAAGTCTTTATACGAATTCTTTAGATCATGACCAAGTCTCTCACTGATGGCCTTGATTGATTTAAGAAGGTATATAAGCCCTGTTCATATTCTATTCTTATTGATTGATTCAAACAAAAAAAAATATTTTTATCTAACAAAGATAATTACTTTTAGGTAGATGGGATAATCAATTGAAGCCCACACTTACAAATAAAAACAGTGACTTTGCCATTTCTCCAAAAAGAAAGAACTGAATTTACACAGAAGAGTAAGAAGTGGTGTTGAGGTCAGATTCAGGAGAATGGTTTGAGTGTGAAAGAATTCACTTTTAGCCATTGGGAGTTTTATTTAATGTGTAAATGCATGGGCCCTTTCAGCAAGAAAGCTATGCAAGGCCCGATATTTGGGAGAACCAGGCTTATATCGAGGTTTCAGAATGATGAAGTAATTTTAGGATTTTTTTATGGGGGTTGAAGATTAAGGACATGATAAGAATGAACAGGATGAGGAAGAAGATTGCTTACAAGATAAGGAGCAATTTTTATGACACAGGATGAGAAAGCAACCTTTAATATTCTTTTTGACCCTTATGGCATTATACTCTATCCACATCATTTGGCCACTTTCTATCTATTCTCTCTGCATTCTCTCCATCTTCACCCCAATCAGTGAGCATTTATTAAACACTTACTATGTGTAACCTGTGTTAACTACTGGGATACAAAGACAAACCTGAAACAGTCCCTCAAGAAGCTTACATTCCTCAGAGAAGAAAGGAGAAACAGAACATGAGATATTTTCCAAGGTGGTGTTCATCAGATAATTTTCCATTTGTATAATTGGGTTGAGTAGCCAAGTCAATTAAAATAGTAAACAGCAATGGAAGGGAAATGTTTGATTCAACCAACACAATTACTGTGCATACTGATTCTGATCCACAAAGGTAATTCTGCTCTTCACCTGTCATGCCTTCATTGACCATCAAAATCACTTATTCCTTGTGTCACTCTGACATTGAAAGTAGGTCACTTAGGTTTTTCTCTTGCCCTCCTCACCCCCAAAACCTCAGTTCATTTCTTTAACTCATATCCCAAGACTAATTCCTCAGCTGTCTATTCATTTTGGGCCAGAGAGAATTGCAGAAATGGCAATCTTAATCTCACATCTATATCATGTTAAGTCAAGGGATGATTCTGAATTGCTATGGTTATGATCTCATTTGATTATAATATACAGGGTATCCTAAAAGTCTTAGTTCAGCTTTAAGCCACAATTGCTTAAAACCATACTAAGATTTTTAGGATACTGTGTCAATAGTTCAATAAAAAAGAATTTCTATAATTCTGAAAATTTTACTTAAATGGCTATGATCTAGGAGATTTCAGTGTTAACAGAAAACATGGGCCTATGAGGAAAAATTAAGACATCTCCCAACTTATACCAGAAATCTAAACTTATTGGAAAATAAGTTTGGGAAAACTAAGTATGATTGTCACATTGACCACATTTTTAAATACATAAACTCCTAGGATTTTAGAGCTGTATCATTTAGTACACTCCTTTCATTTTACAGATAAGAAAGCCCAGAGATGCTAGGTGTTTGGCCAAAGGCCACAGAGTATTGGATTCTGTCTCAACTTAAAGTAAGGAAAGAACTAGTAAAATCCTGTTGGAATGAGTGCCCTAGGGCAACGCTGTGTCTGTTTTCACAAAATAGGCTACTTAGGTTGATTTATTTAGTTCTGATTCTATTGCAAAGTCATTGCCATTCGTTGTATTTCTTAACCTTTGTATTTTTTCCTCAAATCTTGTTCAGCACGAATTTAGCATTAAATATTTATGAATATACTTTATACATTTCTCACTTCCCTCATTGTAGATGTCCTGTACACAGACACAGGCTGTGCAAAGGATTGTACTTGGTAAATTTCCCTCCAGAATTAGCAAATCCTTTCATTTTCAGAGTGCCTCATTTTGGATTAGATGATCTGGACTCCCTCTCTCCCCACCATCTTTTTGATCATTAGGCAAAAGAAAGAATGCAAAAGCTCATCTGATTTGCACTAAATCATTTATACTTTTTCCTATGACAAACATTTTAAATTTTGTCCTTGAATTCCACAGTGTTGATTTTTTTTATGTGCAAAATGCTCTCCATTGTTGAGATGCTCTCAGTAACTGTAAACTGGGAGCCTGCCATTAACTCACAACACCCCCCACCTTTTTAGCATGTTGACTTGCAAACTTCTCCCTCCAGTGGCCTCATGTCAATCCTAGAGAGATCAGTAGTCATGGAACATTACACAAACACAAAATATCAACTCAATGCATAAGAAAAATGTACACTTTTCCTCACAGCTTAAAGGACAGGTACCCCCAAAGTGATGCCACTCTCCATTTTCATGTGCCCACATTCACTTCACAACTAAATGGGTGTGAAGCTTCTTCAGTCTCCTTCCAATCTCAGCTTTGGAACTAAAACCACCAATTTGTCCAAGTCACTGACCTTCCTAGATCTGTTAACACTTAGATTTCAAAAAAACATGAGAATAGAAATATTTCCTCTCAGAACAGCTGAGGAAGCTGGACATGGCTTGGAAAACTATCTTGATTCTCTAAATGTTAATCAAGAAAGAAGTAACCAACCATACCCTTGCCATTTTTTAAAATAAATTTATTTATTTATAGTTTTCAACATTTACTTCCACAAGATTTTGAGTTTCAGATTTTCACCCCATCTCACCCCTCCCCCACCCCAAAATGGCATGCATTCTAAATAGCCCTTCCCCTAGTCTGCCTTCCCTTCTATCTCTCCCCTCCCTTCTCTTATCCCCTTCCCCTTCTATTTTCCTGTAGGGTAGGATAGATTTCTCTACCCCATTTCCTGTACTTCTTATTTCCCAGTTGCATGTAAAACATTTTTTTTAAACACGTGTTTTTAAAACTTTGGGTTCCACATTTTCTCCCTTCCTCCCTCTCCACCCATCCTCATTGAAAAGACAACCTACTCAATATAGGTTACATATGTGCAGTTATGCAAAACACTTCCATAGTAGACATGCTGTAAAATACTCACTCTATTTCCCTTAATCCTATCCCGCCCCCCTCATTTATTCTATTGTTTCTTTTGACCCTGTCCCTCCTCAGAAGTATTTGCTTCTGATTACCCCCTTTCCCAATCTGCCCTCCTCTCTATCATTCCCCTACTCTCTTGTCCCCTTCCCTTCCCTATTTTCCTGTAGGGTAAGACAGATTTCCATACCCAATTGAGTGTGTATGTTATTCCCTCCTTAAGTCAAATCCTATGAGAATAAGATTCGCTCATTCCCTCTCACCTTTCCCCATTTCCCCTCCACTGTAAGAGCCTTTTCTTTTCTGTTTTTTTTTGTGAGATAATTTAGTCTGTTCCACCTCTCCCTTTCTCCTTCTCCTAGTATAATCCTCTCATCCCTTAATTTTATTCTCCAGATATGACCCCTTCATCTTTAACTCACCTTGTGCCCTCTATCTATCTATCTATCTATCTATCTATCTATCTATCTATCTATCGATATATACATACATATAATTTTTTCCTCCAACTACCCTAATACTGACAAAGGTCTCATGACTTACAAAAATCATCATTCCATGCAGGAATGTAAACAGTTCAACCTTAATAAGACTCTTATGATTTTCTCTTTCCTGTTTACCTCTTCATGTTCAACTTGAGTCTTTTATTGGAAAGTCAAATTTTCTATTCAGCTCTGGTCTTTTCATCAAGAATGCTTGAAAGTCCTCTATTTCACTGAATGACCATTTTTTCCCCAGAAGGATTATACTCAGTTTTGCTGGGTAGGTGATTCTTGGTTGTAATCCTATATCCTTTGCCCTCTGGAATATTATATTCCATGCCCTGTGGGCCCTTAATGTAGAAGCTGCTAAATCTTGTGTTATCCTGATTGTGTTTCCACAATACTTGAATTGTTTCTTTCTGGCTGCTTGTAATATTTTCTCCTTGACCCGGGAACTCTGGAATTTGGCTACAATATTCCTAGGAGTTTTCTTTTGGGGATCTCCTTCAGGAGGAGATCAGTGGATTCTTTCAATTTCTATTTTGCCCTCTAGTTCTAAAATATCAGGGCAGTTTTCCTTGATAATTTCTTGGAAGATAATGTCTAGGATCTTTTCTGGATCATGGCTTTCAGATAGTCCAATAATTTTTAAATTCTCTCTCCTGGATCTATTTTCCAGGTCAGTTGTTTTTACAATGAGATATTTCACATTGTTTTCTAATTTTTCATTCTTTCGTATTTGTTTTACAGTGTCTTGATTTCTCATAAAGCCACTAGCTTCCAATTGCTCTATTCTAATTTTTAAGGAAGTATTTTCTTCAGTAATCTTTTGGACTTCTTTTTCCATTTGGCCAATTTTGCATTTTAGGGCATTCTTCTCCTCATTGGCTTTTTGGGCCTCTTTTACCATTTGGGTTAGGCTATTTTTTAAGGTGTTATTTTCTTCAGTATTTTTTTGGGTCTCCTTTAGAAAGCTGTTGACTTGTTTTTCATGATTTTCTTGCATCACTCTCATTTCTCTTCCCAGTTTTTCCTCTACTTCTCTTACTTGCTTCTCAAAATCCCTTTTGAGCTCTTCTAAGGCCTGGGACTAATTCATATTTTTCTTGGAGGCTTTGGATGTAGGAGCTTTGACTTTGTTGTCTTCTTCTGGTAGTACGTTTTGATCTTCTTTGTCACCAAAGTAAGATAATATAGTCTGATTCTTTTAGCGAGGTTTGCTCATGATCCCAGACAATCACTTGAGTTTTAAACTCTTTGTTAAGGTAAGAGTGTGCTTCCGATGTGGAGAATGTACTGTCCCAAGCTTCGGGGGTTTGTTCAACTGTTTTTCAGAGATACTTCTAGGCACCTGAAAATTTTCAGTTCTTCCAAGGTGCTATGATAAGGGGCAAGGTGTTTCCTCTCCACTGCCACAACAAGCTCCACCACATCAGTGCTTCTCCTCACCCCAGGACCACCCCTCAGAACTGTGACCCAGATCCAAGCATGGGCAAAGCAAGAGATTTCCTGCCTCAGCACTGGCAAAGAGATCCCTGCAATCCCCCTTTGATCAGCCACTCGATCCCCCCTAAGTCTGTGGGCCAGAAGCTCAGGAAACAGCAGCAGCCCCGGGCCACGCTCTAGACTTGCAGCTGGGACCTAGCTCCTCTCTCACTGCAGTCATAGACTTTTCCCACTGACTTTCTAAGTTGTCTTTGGTGTTCATGGGTTGAGAGGTCCAGAAACTGCCACAGCTGCCCATGATTCAGTCCCCTGAGGCCTGCTCCAGGTTTGTGCAGCCTGCGGGCCCACACCAAACTGCACTCCTCTCCCTGCCCTGCACAATATACCTTTCTGATCAACCATCCAGGTTGTCTTGAGCTGGAAATTTGTTTCACTCTGTCTTTTTGTGGGTTCTGCTGCTTTAGAATTTGTTTAGAGCCATTTTTTATAGGTATTTGGAGGGGTTTGGGGGAGAGCTCAAGCAAGTCACTGCTTTCCCTCCACCATCTTGGCTCTGCCCCCTAATCCCTTGCCATTTTTTTTGTAGGTCATCAGATCATTCTTTGATACCAGAATTGACAAGTTAGGATCAGGAATGCTGAATTTCAAGCAACAGCAAGAGAACAAGGTATAATCATACCTGTTGGTTTTAATTATGATATTTTGTATTCTGTGGTTGACTTGGAACTTTATCTGTTCCAAAAAAAATCATTTTATTGAGTTAAATAAATACACCTTCCTTTACTAACTAGGTCTTCTTATGCAACCATACTTTTTTTTTTTTAACCTGGACTTCGATTTCTCTGGAGTCAGGAGTCAAGGTAAGAAAATTGCCTCCATCAACAGAGAACAGCTATTCTGCAATTTATCATCTTAGAGAGGTCCCTGGGGCATAAATAGTTTAAATGACTTGCTCAGGACCACACACCACTGTATCAGAGGCAGGATTTGTACATAAATCTTCCTAACTCAAAAACCAAGTCTTAATCTAAAACTAAGCTCCACACATACACACACACACAACCACCACCAAAGCTACCTTAAGAAGATAAATGAAAGCCTGTTTTATTGGGGAAATCAATAAACAAGCATTTATTATTGTCTACTTTGTGTCTGACACTATATTAACTTAAGGCAAAAACAAAAAAGCCTCTCAATATATTCTATTAAGGAAACAATATGTGCATGTATCAGTAGACACAAAATATAAACATAAAGTAATTTGGTTGGGGAGGGACTAGACATTGGGAGATTAGGAAAGGCCTCTTGTAGGAGCTGGTTTGAATGAAGCTTTGAAAGTATTTCGGAATTCTTTCAAATTGCCAAATCTTGCCTTTTCACTTTCACAAGATCTCTTATATTCAACCCCTCTATACTCACACAGCTACCACCTTAGCTCAGGTCCTGATCACTTCTCACCTAGATTATTGCAACAACTTCCTAACTGAGCTCCGTGCCTTAAGTCCCTCATAACTCCAATTCATTTTACACATTGTTGCTAAAAATAACTTCCCTTAAGCTTAAAACTGACCAAATGGATCCCCTTCACAATCGACTCTGGTAGCTTCCTATTACCTCTATAATAAAATATAAATTCTTCTGTTTAACTTTTAAAATCTTTCATCATATGCTACTCCCATCCTCTTTCCTCTCAACTTCCTTGGATATTAAGCCCCTCGCCTGCCTTCTGAATCCAACCAGACAGGTCTTCTATGTGTTGCTCACACAGACCTTCTATCATCATGGCTTTACAATGGCTATCTGAAACACTGAAAGTAATTCCCTCTTACCTCTGTCCCATAGAGTCTCTCTCTTCCTTGAAGACTCAGCTCAAGCACCATGCCTTTTTTCATCTCTCCATCTTCAACTGCTAGTCTTTTCCCAAACAATTTTATATTTAACTATTTGGGATGTGTATATGTACATATGCATGTCTGTACATATGTATTATTCATGTTGTATATATATTGTTGTATGTACTTGTTTCTTCATTAGAATGTAAACTCCTTGAGAGTAGGGATTGTTTCATTTTTTGCACTTGGATCCTCAACTGCACAGTGCCTAGCACATAGTAGGAATTTAATACTTATTGATTAATTGATTGATTGAATAGTCTTGTTGCATGAGTAGCTCCTCTCAGGGATGACTTTTGGGGCTGCTCATTGTGAAGGGAAGACTCTCCTGGACCTTGGTGCTACCTCAGCTGCACTTGGGGTAGTCTTTGTAGCACTCATACTTCCCATGAGGTTGCCCTGGACAGAAGGCAGCTTGGAGCTATCTGTGACATCATTGAGACTGCAAGGGACACTCTCCTTAGATAAGATCTCCTGCAGAATTCTTTTCTCACATTCATCTGATAGCATTCCTGCCTAGGGAGATGAGGGATGAGGTGGGGAAGGGTAGATTAGGGATACATGCAGTCTGCATCTCTAATGTTGTGGCTTAAATGGGGATACTCCTCTCATCTACCTTGCCAAAGATTTTGATCTTGTTCACTTTAAATCACTTATCTCATCCAGTTCAAGTAAAAGTATTCCCTCAGTTTACCCATTTCAAGCCATACCCACTTCCATTTGCACCCTTTTGCCTTAACTGGGTTAGATTCCCAGGGTTCTTTACTGGCTTTGTATACAGCACTCCTATGTCAGTAGAACTATGGAATTTTAATGGTGTTACTATTTCAGGGGTTACTAGGGGCTCTCTGTTCATAGACTGATTGGTCAGGGGAAGAGGGGAAATATTAATCTAGTTAAGACTTTAGCTCTGTCCTTTTTTTCCTCATTCAAAAAATCTTGGCAGCTGTGAATGGCATCTGTTGTCCTCTCAATATATTCATTTGAAGGGCAGTTCTCTCTCTGGTCCTCTTAATAGTCTGTCTCTCCTTCATATTTTATCTCAGATGAGGAATTTGAAATCTAGGAAGGCTGAGTGATTTGGCCACCATCACACAGATAGTAAGCTTCAGAGGCATCTAACTCTAGAACCAGTGTCTTTTCCTAGTACACTAAGCTACCTAACATATGCAGGAGAGTGTTTAGGAAGGTACACCAGAGTACCATCTTTAAAGACTCCTTCACCAGAGTAAAGATCTTGGTGATTCTGTTTTGACCTTTCCACCATGAGCCAAGAGGCTTTCCATGTCTGTGAGGAGCTCTTTGGGGTCAATGGAGCCTGAGTCTATGGTGGTAACACTATTCAATGCTTTTTTTCCATGTAAGCACCTCAAGCAGGGAATAGGAGGATCAGTATACTGGCTAAAATAAAGCAACCAACCAGAATCCAAAACTTAGTTACTTGGGGAGCATCTCGTGGAAGCAAAAAACACTTTAAATAAATCCAGCTCTCCTCCACTTACGACAAAGATCTTATAAACAGTTACACACCAACAAAAAATCTTGAGTGTACTCAAAAAGTGGACACTAAATGTAAAGATAGATGGGAAGGTGCAAGTTGGAGGAAGTGTGCTTATTTTTGATGATAAATGATTTGTGGTCATGCTCCTTCACCCTCAAATGTAAGGGATATACTTCTGAATCCAACCAGACAGGTCTTCTATGTGTTGCCAAGTAACATGAGTTAGGATAACAAAATGAAGGTGATTATATTTAGTATAGACACGAATCCAGCAACCACCATAAAATGCTCAATACATTAAAAGTCAACAGAAGAGACTACTGTTTTCTACTCTCCCAACTATGTCTTCAATTCAATTTTCATTAAGCACCAGCTACAGGTAAGGCATTCTGCTAAGATCCTGGGCATACAAAGGTAAAAACAAAGCACCTTCAGCCCTCAAGTATTTATACTCTTCTCAAATGAAATTTACATAATTTTGTGATTGTATTTTTAAAAGCTGACATTTTAACAAGGAATATTTTACATTTCCATGGATTGCACATAGTTATAATAATTCAGGCACTATATTCTCTCAAGAACAAAGAATAATGCACTAATGCAAAATTGTGTTGAAGAGAGAAGGTGTAATATCAGGAACTCTTCCCATTTCATCATTAGATAGTCATTTTTCTTTCATTTTTGTTTCTTTAAGCTATAGATGAAAAAAACTTAATTAAAGCTTAATTTTTTTGAAGAAGAGAATAACTTTTATGGAATTTTTGCCCATTAATTACACAGCTGTATAAATAGGCTGTGTATATCTTTGTGTGTATATAGCCATTCAGAAAAATGAACTTTTTAATTATCCTTGTCTCTTGGTAATACCATGGAAAATTGCCCAGGTGTGGAGCTACTTGCTGTGTGGCCTTGGACAATCACTTAATACCATTGAGCCTCAGTTTCCTCATCTGTAAAATTATATTAGAAAGGATGCCTCTAAGGTCTTTTCCAAGTATAAATTTATGATCTTTTGGTTCTAAACTAAGATAAATATGTTCAAGTTAAAATTCCACAGTGGAAAAATATCCAACATTAGCCAGTCAGTGTCTGACAAAGTCTTAAGTGATCAACTGGGGTTCATCACAAAACCCTAACTCTAGAAAGCATCTGCTTGAAGGATCAATGGTTTAATTCATATCACGTCAATCATAGCAAAGATATAATCAGGAAGGACACTGGAAATCAAACACAAAGCATGATCTAGTCAATCAACAAGTATTTATTAAGTTCCTGCTGTGTACCAGGCATTGTGCCATGTGCTAGGGATCCAAGTACAAAGAAAGAAACAATCCCTGCTCCAAATAAGCTTACATACAAATGGAAGAGGCGAGTATACACAGAAATACACACAATAAAAAATAAATACACACATTTTTATATAGTCAAATATTAGAGAGCATAGGAAGAAGGCCACTAACAATTGGAGAGATGGAGTAACATTTCAGGCAGAACATGGTGCTTGAGCTTTATCTTCAAAGAATAGAGGAACTCTATAAGGCAGTATTAAGAAAAGAGTACATTCCAGGCATGTGAGACAATCAGTGTAAAGCCAGAGACATGGGAAATGGGATGTCTCATGTGAGGAACAGAAAAAAGGCCAGTTTGGCTGAATTACAGAGTGTAGGAAGTTGTATAACGTCCAATGAAGCTGGAAAGATATGTTGGAACTACACTGCAAAGGACTTTAAAACCTGAACAGAAATTTATATTTTACTCTAGAAGCAATAGGAAGCCACTGGAGTTGATTGAGTAGGACAGTTACATGTTCGACTCTGGACTTAAGGAAAATTACTTTGACAGCAGTGTATAACGGCAGACTGGAGTGAGAAAGAGATATGAGGAGAACAATTAGGAGGCTATTGTAATAATTTAGGTGAGAAGTAGTGATGAACAGGACTAAGGTGGCAGCTGTGTGAGTGGAGAGATCAGAAGCAAGAGATGTTGTGAAGGGGAAAACAGTCAAGATTTAACAAGTGGTTGAATTTATGGGGTAAGAGAGAGTGAGAAGGCCAACATAATGCCAAATTAAAAAACTTAAAGACTCTGAGGGGTGGTAGTCCTTCCATGGAAACACAGAAATTTGAAAGAGGGGAAAAGTTGAGAGGGGTGAGGGAGAGAGATAATGAATTCAATTTAAAACATGTTGAATTTAAGAAATCTCTAAGACATATAATTTGAAATGTCCAGTAGACAATTGATGATGTAGGACTGATATGGATAATGAGCCAG